TGTGGTGAGGGATTTGACTAAGTGCAGGCAACAAATCGAAACATGAAAAAATGACCAATTACACACATGACTGCTGCCAACGCATATTTTGCGGGGAAGGCCGCTTCGGTACTTGCGTGATTGACGGAAATCACGCTCGTGCAAAATTTCGGGAATGAAGGGAGGGGGGGGAGGGGGGGGTGTGCCCTGTACGCTCTTCAGGGTAATCTTCACTAAGGGAAAATTTACCCCAGACCATCAGTGTGGCCTAGATCGTTTCACTGTCAAATCAGTGTAACACTAACTTGCAAAAAAATTACCCAAACACATCAGTGTAGGCCATAAAATTCACCCTTCTCATCAGTATAGCAGTGTGATTTACACTGATAAAATAGGCCCTGTTTCTTATTCGATATTGCATATTCCACTCACTTTTAGTTGACAACTCATATGGTAGAGTGTAGATATCTGCTTGCCTCCATTTGTTATGTTGAGTTGTCAGTAACAGGAATCTGCCGCACCTGCGATGAAACCATCTGCGCCTGACGACTTCAAAACAGTCGTCCGAGAGTCGCCTCCCCCTGAACGACGTCGTTCACACAAGACTTTGTCGGCTCAGGCGGTACTGTAATGCTCGAATTGTGTCGGCTACATTGTCGCAAGCGTCGCAGCAGATTTGAAGGACGGTTGTCAAATCGTCCCTTCCCAGCAAGCATATAAGCGTCGGAAGTGCGACCATCATTCATCGCCAACTCCAGTTCAGCTCATCACAGCTCCTTCCAGCCTCTTCTGCGACGAAATCACCCAGCCTTCAGCGACTCAACGATAGCTTTCTGCAATGGCGATTCCCATCTCCCGATCAACCCTGATCTTCGTCGTTCTCTCTGGATGTGCGATTTTCGCCTCTGCTCTGTCGCCCATGCCTCTCTCGCCGTTTGACGAAGCCGTTCAGAAGCTGAACAACTCGGGTTACACCAGCTTCGTCTCTCTCGTCAGCGCTTATGGTAGCTAGCTTTTGCGTGGGGTGCACACCCCTTTCACCCCTCTCAAATTACCTTCTCAACTGCATGTCCCCACTCTCACCCCGTTTTGGTTCATTGTTGATTGGTTTCGCCGCTTTCTGCGCTGTGCAACTAACTTCGCCGCATTCCTCGCTGATATATATGGTTTTTCTAACATGCTCCGTTCCCTTCCGTCCTTTCCTTCCCCATCGCAGGCAAGATGAAGCAGGTCAAGGCGGCTCTTTCCAAGCCGCTCACCATGCTCGTCCCCAGCAACGCGGCCATCGCCAAGGTCAAGATAACGAGTTACTCTACAGCGCAGCTCTCCACGCTCGTCATGTTCAACGCCATCAAAGGCGTCATGCCCTTCCAGAAGCTGCGAGCCCTCGCGAAGAACTCGACGATCGCGACACTCTCCACGGACCTCAAGTCCAAGAAGACGCTGATGCTCACGAAGCTCTCCCCGCCCAAGGCGCACTGGGTGGCGATGCAGGGCAAGCTCGGGAGCAAGCTGATGATCACTAAGGGAGACTTTTACCTAAAAGTCGGGAAGCTGGCCGTGCACACGACTGATGCTATTGTGTTCCCCGTTGGAATGAAGTGACGCGACGATGAGAAGCAGGTAATAATAATCTGGTGGTGATCAATATGTGGAGGCTAGATATTTTTGGGACATGCCTAGATCAGGGTGCTGGAAGCAACATGCTTCAATAGCCTAAAGCATCAGCGCAAATACCGTAAACCCCCGTATATAGGACCCCCTCCAGTTGTAGACCCCCGGGTCTATAATACGGAGGGGGGTACTCTATTCGAGTCTATCCGAGTTATACCCCCCTAAATGGCTCCTGACATTATAAGACCCCCCACATCCTAGAGAAGTGTGTATTTTCAGCGAATGCAATGGAAAATGGTCCTATTCCATGTTCAGGTACAGACAATCACACACATGAACGCGCATGCACAGGCCAATTATCAGCCTAATCCTCTCCAGCAACCCAGATCTCCACCTTTTAGATGGCAGCCAGCCGAGCACAGTAAGGGGGGAAGAAACTGGAGGAGGAAGTGAAGCCAGCCCTCAAAAACAAGGACGTGCCAGACGACAGTACGGGAGTCTGAAGCTCCCGCCCTATAGGATCGCACGAAGCGTGCATGGGGTGTGCAGGTCGAGGCGACACTGCGCGCCGGGCCCATCAAACGGTGCCCTTCTCGCTTATGTCAACACCAAGTGATGTTTGTGCCCAATGGGAGGAGGCTTTTAGATAGGGTACGTGATGATGTGGGTTTGGCCCAGGAAGAGACCAGTTCGAGTATATTTGGGAGGTGCTAAAAACGGAGCAATTCCAATTCACTTCTTTGAGCTCCAAAACAGTAGACTTATAGAAGTCAATTTGAAAAGACCCGGGTCTTATAAAATATGTACCATTTAATTATACCCCCCAACTTTTTAAGGCCAGATTATCATAATACCCTAGGGTCTTATATACGGGGGTTTACGGTAATGGCTAGTGTCCAATTTGATGAGGCAGTAATGGGTACCCACAAGTGATTGGGGAATAGCGTTATTCCGCGAAGTTATACATACCGTATGAGCAGCTGTACACTTATTTATAATCCGTACTTATTGTTCCTTTTTTCGGGCGGGGCTTGCACTATCGACGCATACAAGATTTGTTGAACGGTACGGTGCAAGCCTCCCTTCGAGGTTCGAAACGCTTGTCAGGCTTGAGGCGAAGGCCTGGAGAACAAAATATTTGGAATGTGGAGGTTCGGGTGAACAGTAGTGCGGGAGGCTTCGAGTGTCGCGAAGAAAGTGCACTTTATTTACCTTTGTGTTGTTCACCGTTTCGTCGTCGCCAGTGGTCAACTCTGTTTCGCACGCGACGCGAACTCATCGTCGCCGTTCCACACGGCGTCGCTGGATGCATTCGCGTCGCACAGCCAGTCAGTTTTCGCAGAGTTACGAGGCACTAGCGCAGTGGAAAACGTTAGACCCACTTGCTTTTACCGCCTCATACCCTAAGACGTAAACACGACGTGCGTTTCGTGCTGCTTATCAAGTCGTATTCAGGCGGCGACGCTTGCACATTGGCGACTTTGTGCGACGGGCGGATTCAGTCGCTCAAGTCGCCATGCGATTGGTGAAGCCGTCGTGGGTGTCGCACGGCGGGCAGGCGATTTTCGCCATCCACGTGCATCCGGATGGGACAAGATTTGCCACTGGGGGGGGAGACCACAAGGTGAGCGGGAGTAGGTACAGAAGGGTTACAGAGGGTTACATGATGTGGGGAGGGGTGAGCGGGGGGGGGGGGGGGGGGGGAGGGGATGGTGAGGGGAAGGGCTACAGCGAGGGAGGGTTACACAAAGGGCGCCCTTCTTTTCTCACACTCCCTGCCTTGCTACCAACTCGAGGTGCCTGAAAGCTGCTTTCACATCTCCCCGCTCTCCTCCCCCTCATCTCCCCCTATGCCAGGCCATCATCTGGAGTCTCCCTCCTTTGCTCTCTCCAGAAGCCGAATCCAATGCTGCACTGTCTTCCCGCCTCGCCCCTCCCTCTCTAGTCAACACCCTCTTGCTTTCTCTCCCCTCTCCCCTCTCCCCTCTCCCCTCTCCCCTTCCCATACCCCATCCCCTCAGGCCGTCATCTGGAGCCTCCCTCCGCTGCTCTCCCCTGAATCCGAGTCGGATGCCGCACTGCCCTCCCTCCTCGCCCCACCTTCCCTTCTGGTACCCCCGTGCTCCTCTCCCCTCTCCCCCAACAGGCCGTCATCTGGAGCCTCCCTCCGCTGCTCTCCCCTGAATCAGAGTCCGATGCCGCACTTCCCTCCCGCCTCGCCACTCTCTGCGACCATTTTGGGGCTGTCAGCTCTGTCAGGTAGGTTATGAGGTGGAATGTCAGGTGTTTCAACAGAGAATCAAGTGGGTTATGAGGAGGAGTGTCAGGTGATTTCAACAGAGACGCAAGTGGGTTATTTAGGAGGACTGACGGGTTGTTTCAACAGAGTCTCAGGTGGGTTAGGAGGAGAGGAGTGCAGGGAACGAATTCCGAGTGGGATAGGGGAAGGGGGAGGAAACTTTGTGAGGTGACTTTTGAGTCAACTCAAAAGTCACTGACGGGTTGTTCCAACAAAGTCTCAGGTGGGTTAGGAGGAGAGGAGTGCAGGGAACGAATTCCGAGTGGGTGGGATAGGGGAAGGGGGAGGAAGGTTGAAGGAGGGATACTAGGCTGCATTGCTTGCTTCCTGACTCCCCCCATCCAGTCTTTGCAAAACGGGCTGCGCTTAGCAGCAGCAGCGGCAGGGCTTTTGAGGCGCCTCAAGAGGAGCCTCAAGAGGCGCTTCAAGAGGCGCCTCAAAAGTGCATTGCTTGCTTCCTGTTTTGAGACGTTGCACCTCAAGAGGCGCCTCAAGACCAAAACTGCATTGCTTGCTTCCTCACTCCCCCTTTCCAGTCGTTGCACAACGGGCTGTGCTTAGCAACAGCAGCGGCAGGGGAAGGGAGGGGGAGTGTGGTTTTTGAGGCGCCTCAAAAGTGGTTGCACAACAGGCTGCACTTAGCAACAGCAGCGGCAGGGGAGGGGAGGGGGAGTGTGGTTTTTGAGGCGCCATCCTTGTTTGCTCCATATCTGCAACCTCCCTCCTACAGGTGGTCGCCCAATGGACTGCATCTGGCAAAAGCGGCGGATGATCAGACAGTGCATGTGTACGGCAGGAGGGAGGGGCGGGGGAGATGTAAGGGGGAGTCTGGTGGGGAACACATACTGATTTCTAGGGTTTCACCCCCTCCTTACCTCCCGTTTTCCCCCCTCTTCAGGTGGTCACACGACGGTTTACACTTGGTATCCGCAGCAGACGATCAGACAGTGCATGTGTACCGCAGGAGGGAGGGGCGGGGTAGTGTGGTGCTTGGGGAGATGGAAGGGAGGGGAGGAGATGGGAGCTCATATTTGTCTCTCGCTCCGTATCCTTAACCCCCTCTCAGGTGGTCCCATAATGGACTGCATCTGGCAACAGCAGCAGACGATCAGACAGTGCATGTGTACGGCAGGAGGGAGGGGCGGGGGAGCGTGGTGTTTGGGGAGATGGACGCTCCTAGCGTGGAGAACTGGACGCTTACACACTCGCTGCGAGGCCACACAGGAGAAGTGGTGAGTCCCTTCCTTTGTTAGCCCTGCCGCCCTCGCAAGTGCCGGCCACTTGAGGCGGATGGGCGGGGGAGCGTGGTGTTTGGGGGGATGGATGCTCCTAACGTGGAGAACTGGATGCTTACACACTCGCTGCGAGGCCACACGGGGGAAGTGGTAAGTCCCTTTGTTAGCCCTGCTGCTGCCCTTCCAAGTGCCAACCATTTGCGAGGCGGAGAGGCGGGGGAGCGTGGTGTTTGGGGAGATGGACGCTCCGAACGTGGAGAACTGGACGCTCATACACTCTTTGAGAGGCCACACGGGGGAAGTGGTAAGTCCCTTTGTTAGCCCTGCTGCTGCCCTTCCAAGTGCCAACCATTTGCGAGGCGGAGAGGCGGGGGAGCGTGGTGTTTGGGGAGATGGACGCTCCGAACGTGGAGAACTGGACGCTCATACACTCTTTGAGAGGCCACACGGGGGAAGTGGTAAGTCCCTTTGTTAGCCCTGCTGCTGCCCTTCCAAGTGCCAACCATTTGCGAGGCGGAGAGGCGGGGGAGCGTGGTGTTTGGGGAGATGGACGCTCCGAACGTGGAGAACTGGACGCTCATACACTCTTTGAGAGGCCACACGGGGGAAGTGGTAAGTCCCTTTGTTAGCCCTGCTGCTGCCCTTCCAAGTGCCAACCATTTGCGAGGCGGAGAGGCGGGGGAGCGTGGTGTTTGGGGAGATGGACGCTCCGAACGTGGAGAACTGGACGCTCATACACTCTTTGAGAGGCCACACGGGGGAGGTGGTAAGTCCCTTTGTTAGCCCTGCTGCTGCCCTTGCAAGTGCCAACCATGTGCGAGGCGGAGAGGCGGGGGAGCGTGGTGTTTGGGGAGATGGACGCTCCGAACGTGGAGAACTGGACGCTCATACACTCTTTGAGAGGCCACACGGGGGAGGTGGTAAGTCCCTTTGTTAGCCCTGCTGCTGCCCTTGCAAGTGCCAACCACGTGTGAGGCGGAGGGGCGGGGGAGCGTGGTGTTTGGGGAGATGGACGCCCCGAACGTGGAGAACTGGACGCTCATACACTCTTTGAGAGGCCACACGGGGGAAGTGGTAAGTCCCTTTGTTAGCCCTGCTGCTGCCCTTCCAAGTGCCAACCATTTGCGAGGCGGAGAGGCGGGGGAGCATGGTGTTTGGGGAGATGGACGCTCCGAACGTGGAGAACTGGACGCTCATACACTCTTTGAGAGGTCACACGGGGGAGGTGGTAAGTCCCTTTGTTAGCCCTGCTGCTGCCCTTGCAAGTGCCAACCATGTGTGAGGCGGAGGGGCGGGGGAGCATGGTGTTTGGGGAGATGGACGCCCCGAACGTGGAGAACTGAACGCTCATGCATTCGTTGCGAGGCCACATGGGGGAAGGGGTGAGTCCATGTCTTTGCCCTGCTGATGCTGCTGACTGTCCAAGCGTCAACCATTCGTGAGGCAGAGAGGGCAGCGTGGTGTGTGGGGAGATGGACGCCTCTAACGTGGAGGAGAACTGGACGCTCATGCATTCGCTGCGAGGCCACACGGGGGAAGTGGTGAGTCCCTTCTTTCGCACACACCACACCCTTATGCTTGAGTGCTAGCGGTGGTCTTCTTGCGCCTCCCCTCTCTGCTGTGTGGGGAGATGGATTCTCCCAACGTGGACAATTGGACGCTCATGCGCTCACTGCGAGGCCACATGGGGGAAGCGGTGAGACCTTTCTCTTCCTTTTACTCTCCCTCACGCACACACACACACGAGGGAAATGATGTGCTCTCCCTCTCTCTAACACACGTTATCTCACTTCTTGCTCAAATAACGCCCACCGTATCTCCCGCATTTTTCCCCCATTTGGCTGCTGCCAGTGTTAAACAGGAGGGCCTAACAAACTGACCCACTGACAGCCCCATTTGCCTGTTGCCTAACAAACCCCTATCCTTCCCATCCCATCCTCGACTTTAGAGTCGACTCAAAATCCCGCTCTCTACTCTCTCCCCCACCCCTCCTCTCCGGTAGGTTGATGTTGATTGGTCGCCGGATGACTCACTCATCGCCACCTGTAGCCTTGACAGCACGGTGCGGATTTGGCAGCCAATGACGGGCCGCCAGGTGGCGGTGCTGACGAGGCACAGCAGCTTCGTGAAGGGCGTCGTGTGGGACCCCATTGGCCGGTTCCTGGGCAGCCAATCAGACGACAAGAGCGTGATCGTGTGGCGGGTGAATGATTGGTCGGTGGCGAAACGCGTGGAGGGACCCTATCCGAAATCGGTGAGTGCAGGGGACAGGAAGGTGAAGGGAGAGGGGGAGGCAGCCAATCAGATGATAAGAGCGTGATCGTGTGGCGAGTCAACGATTGGTCGGTGGAGAAACGGGTGGAGGGACCGTACCCCAAGTCGGTGAGTCATTCACTCTAGGTTGAATCAGTCAGTGGGTGGGTGGGAGGGGGAAGGGGAAGGGGAAGGAAGAGGGGAAGGGGAAGGGGAAGGAAGAGGGGAAGGGGAAGGGGAAGGAAGAGGGGAAGGGGAAGGGGAAGGCAGGCAGCCAATCGGAGGGGAAGCGGGGGGGGGGAAGGCTGTCGTGTGGGAACCCATTGGTTGGCCGGTTCCTCGGCAGCCAATCAGACGACAAGAGCGTGATTGTGTGTCGAGTCGATGATTAGTCCGTGGCGAAGCGGGTGGAGCGGCCCTACCCCAAGTCGGTAAGTCATGGTTGGGTGGGTTGTTGTATGAGAGTGAGCTGTGTGTTGTGTAGTCAGCACATATGAGTGCGACAGTCAGGCACACAAGGGCGTGGCGGCGAGACAACAGACTGGCTGGTGGCGAAGCACGTGGAGGGACGGTATATCCCAAGGCGGTGAGTCATTCAGTCAAGTGTGAGTGAGTGAGACAGTCAGGCACACTAGGGTATGGTGGGGCAATAGACTGGCCAGTGGCGAAGCGCATGGAGGGACCCTATATCCCAAGGCGGTGAGTCATTCAGTCAAGTGTGAGTGAGTGAGTCAAGTGTGAGTGAGTGAGTCAAGTGTGAGTGAGTGAGTCAAGTGTGAGTTGGGGAGGGGAGGGGGCAGTTTGGGAAGGGGACGAGACCCTATCTCAAGTTGGTGAGTGAGTGAGTCTGGCCAGGCACACATTCCTGAAGTGATTCACTCAAGGATGAATCAGTCATTCAAGCACACATGAGTGAATCAACCAGGCTCACAAGAGTGTGCCGTGCCGCACAAACAATTGATGCGCCTCAAGAGGCGGATCCTTGCATGCGTGTGGTTCTTTTGGTGCGACTTTTGAGAATTCTCAAAAGTCGGCTCAAGAGGCGGCTCCTTGTATGCGTGTGGTTTTGAGAATTCTCAAAAGTCGCACCAATATAGCTCCTTGCACGCGGTTCTTTTGAGACGTCTCAGAAATCAGTCAGCAGCACACATGCGTGAATTAACCAGGCTCACAAGGGTGTGCCGCACCAATGATTGGCCGTCCTACCTCTCACTTCCCCATTCCCTGCTCCTTGCATTCCAGCTCCCCTCCCAACCTCCCCCCCTCACAGGTAGGAGCGACTTTCTTTCGCCGTCTCTCCTTCTCCCCCTGCGGCTCCTACCTCACTACAGTCCACGCCTTTGCCCTCTTACCCTCTGGTCTACCCACGGAGTCACAGACACCTCCTTCCCCCTCACTCCCCTCATCCCTTGCTCCCCCCCACGTCAGGTCGGAGCAACTTTCTTTCGCCGCCTCTCCTTCTCCCCCTGTGGCTCCTACCTCACTACAGTCCACGCCTTTGCCGACCCAAACCACACCGCGGCGATCCTAGACCGCACGCTCGGGTGGGCCAAGACTCTGGACTACGTCGGGCATACCGGACCTGTCACTGTGGCTCGGTACAGCCCCGTGCTTTACCGAACCTCGCTGGAAGGCGGGAAGCCTGGGAAGGGCGGTTCGGAGGGTGAGGAGGGGAGGATGGGTGGTGCTAAAAGGGAAGGAGAGGAGGAGGAGGAAAAGAGTGAGAAGGTGGAAATGATGGAGAAGGGGGGGACGGTAGAGAAGGGGGGGACTGAGACTGGGGGAGGGACAGGTGACATTGGTGGTGCTGGTGCTGATGCTGGTGCTGGTGCTGCTGATGCTGCTGCTGCTGCTACTGTTGTTGGTGTAGACACTTCTGGTGCAGGTGCTGCTGATGGTTGTATTTCTGCTGCTGTCGGAACTTCTAGTAAAGGAGCGGATGGTGGTGGTGGTGATGGTGGTAGTAGTAATGGTGGTGCTGTTGCTGCTGCTGGTGATACGGCTGGTGTTTCAATTGTCGCCCCTCGTCCCGCTGCTGTTGCTGCTGATGGTGCTGATGGCGCTGCTGCTGCTGCTGCTGCTGCTGCTGCTACTCCTGCCACTGCTCCCGCTGCTACTGATGGTTCTGCTGCTTTGAACGACAATGACATTGGCAAACGCGGACTTGCAGCAGTTTCAGCTCTCTACCTCGTCACAGAGAAGGCTTCTGAGCCGACTCAGAAGGAGTTGACTTTTGAGTCGACTCAAACGGACAATAATTGTGGCAAGCGAGGGCTTGCGGCCGTTTCTGCTCTCTATCTGGTCAAAGAGAAGGCTTCTGAGCCGACTCAGAAGGAGAAGGCTCTTGAGGCGACTTTTGAGGCATCTCAAATCACAGATCAGGCTTTTGAGTCGACTCCGAAAGACAATGAATGCGGCAAACGGGGGCTTGCAGCAGTCTCAGCTCTCTATCTGGTCACAGAGAAAGGGAAGGGGGGGGGAGGAGAGGGTATGGGAGGAGGAGGAAAGGAAGGGAGTGGAGTATCGGGCTGGAAAGGCGAGGAGGGGAGGGAAGCTGCTGAAGGGAAGAAGGGAGAGGAGGCGAGAGAGAGGGAGAGAGTGTGGGAGCAGGAGGTGCTGGAGAGGGAGCAGGAGAAGGAGAGGGTGAGGGTGGAGGAGGAGAGGAAGAGGGAGAAGGAGAGGGAGAGAGTGAGGGAGGAAGCAATGGGGATGATGAAGAGTGGGCCGTATGGGTGGATAGCACTGGGCGGCATGGATCGGAAGATTACTCTGTGGCCCACGTACCGACCTTCACCGCTCTTCACCGCAAAGAATCTTTTCAAACAGCCTGTGCTGGACATTGCATGGTATAATGTGGTATGGTATGGTATGGTATGGTACGGCATGGTACGGTATGGGATGGTACGGTACGGTATGGTATGGTATGGTATGGAATGGTATGGTATGGTATGGCATGGTACGGTATGGGATGGTACGGTACGGTATGGTATGGTATGGTATGGCATGGTACGGTATGGGATGGTACGGTACGGTATGGTATGGTATGGTATGGAATGGTATGGTATGGTATGGAATGGTATGGTATGGTATGGTATGGTATGGTATGGTATGGTATGGTATGGTATGGTATGGTATGGTATGGTATGGTATGGCATGGTACGGTACGGGATGGTACGGTACGGTATGGTATGGTATGGTATGGAATGGTATGGTATGGTATGGAATGGTATGGTATGGTATGGTATGGTATGGTATGGTATGGTATGGTATGGTATGGTATGGAATGGTATGGTATGGTATGGTATGGTATGGTATGGTATGGTATGGTATGGTATGGTATGGTATGGTATGGTATGGTATAGTGTGCACATGCGCTGTTGCTCACTTCTTCCTCCTAACCTTCTTCTTCCCCCATACAGCATCCCATGAGCATGCACATGCTCTATTGGTTTCTTCTGGCCTTTCTCACCTATCTCTCTTCTCTGCTCTCCTCATCTCTCTTTTCCCTTTTTTAATTAGGTCCCCTTGTGGCATGCACATGCTTTGCTGCTCAGCCGATGGCACGGTAGCAGCCTTCCTCTTCGACCAATCACTTGCCCTTTGCATGACTGCCACCATTTGCCGTCCTCTTCCCCCATGCAGGTCCCCATGCACATGCTCTGCTTTTCTCATCTCTCCCTCCCCTGCCTCCTCAGGTCCCCTTGTGGCCTGCACATGCTTTGCTGCTCTGCTCTGCTCAGCCGATGGCACTGTAGCAGCCTTCCTCTTCGACCTTCCCTTCTTCCTCATCTATCTCCCGTTTCCACTCTCTTGCTCGTTTCTTCTGTCCCCCATCTCTTCAGGTCCCCATGCGGCATGCACATGCTCTGCTACTCTCTTGTGGTCTTCTTGTTCCTGGCCTATCTCACTTCGCCGATCTCTCCTCCTCTCTCCCTGTTTCCTCTCCCCATCTCCATGCAGGTCCCCATGCGGCATGCACATGCTCTGCTGCTCTGCAGACGGCACGGTAGCAGCCTTCCTGTTCGACCAATCAGAGCTCGGCATCCCTCTGACGCGCCGCGAGATGGACGGCCGGATCGCCAGCCTATACGGCCACCGCCACGTGGCGGCGTCCCATTCGCTCGTGGAGGACCCAGAGCTTCTGGCACTCCAGCAACAGGTAGAGAGAGAAGAGGCCGCCGCCGCTGCTGCTGCCGCCACGACTGCTGCAGCTGCTGCGGTGTTTGGGAATCCAAAAGTAAGAGGAGGTGGGTTAGCTGTTGGTGCTGTTGGTGCTGCTGCAGTGGAGATGAGTTCTGAGAGTGTGAGAAGACAGCAGGTGGTGGTGAGGAGGAAGGATGGGCGGAAAAGAATCACTCCTGTTGCTATCACTTCAGCTGCTATCACTCCTGTTGCTATCACACCAGCAGCACCAGCAGCAGCAGCTGCAGCGGCAGCACCAGCACCAGCAATAGCAACAGCAGCAGCACCAGTGACAGAAGCAGTAGCAGCTTCAGCAGAAGCAGTGACAGTATTGGCAGTGGCAGCAGCACCAGCGACAGTGGCGGCAGGGGTAACAGCAGCGACAGGGCCGGCAGCAGCACCAGCAGTAGCACCACTAAAAGCAACACCACCCGCAATAACAGCAGCAACACCACCAGCAACAGCACCAGCAGCAGCACCAACATTAGCAGCAGTGTTACCAGCAGCAGCACGAGCAGCACCAGCAACAGTAACAATGCCAGCTGCTGCACCAGCAGCACCAGCACCAGCAACAGTAGCAGTAGCAGCTGCTGCACCAACAGCACCAGCAGCTGTAGCAAGGAAGGAAGCTAGGCCACCGCAGCAGCAGCAACAGGGTGGTAACCAGTTGATTTGTAACCAGTTGATTTGTAACCAGCAAGATAGAGAGACCAAGAGGCAAAAGCTGGGGAAGAGGCTGGGAGTAGAAGAAGCAGATGGGGGAGGGCTCAACGTGGGTTGGAGGCTGGGAGATGGGATAGGTCCGGGGAGAAACGGTTTGGATAGGCCTGGTTTGGGAGGAAGGGAGGAGGAATCTGCCAGGTCAGCGACAGAGGGACGGGCCTCAGGATTGGTGGTTAGAGTGGAAGGGAGGGGAGGGTATGGGGTAGGGGGGAGTGGTTGGGGAGGAGGGGACGGTGGTGGGGGACGGGAGGGAGGAAGAGGGGGAGAGGGAGTGGGAGAGGAAGAGGGAGAAGGGAAGGTGGAGAGGGTGGTGTATGGGAGTGTGATTGCTGATGCCATGGCCTTGCAAAGGGCTACTGCTGGTGGGGGTGGTGGTGCTGCTGCTGCTGGTGGGGGTGGTGGTGGTGCTGCTGCTGCTGCTGGGGGTGGTGGTGGTGGTGCTGCTTCTGCTGCTGCGACTGATCGGTTATTGGGTGCTCGTGACCGGCTGTGGAACGGTGAAAGCAGGGTGGTGTTGGAAGCGAGAATGCGAACAGACACAGGTAAGTGCAGAGTAAGGTAGGGTGGGCCACAGACCGGTGGTGGTGGTGGTAGTAGTGGTAGTGCTGCTGCTACTGCGACTGATATGTAAATGGGTGCTTGTGGTCGGCTGAGGAATAGTGACAGCAGGGTGGGGTTGGAAGCAAGAATGCAAGCAGAGTCGGGTAAGTGCAGAGTAAGGAAGGGTGGGGCACAGGGTGGTGGTGGTGGTGGTGGCGGTGGTGGTGGTGGTGTTGACAGGCTGTGGAATGGTGAAAGCAGGGTGGTCACTGTGGCGGGACTGACTCCCTTCCCCTGTCACTGTGGCGGGACTGACTCCCTTCCCCTGTCACTGCCATTGCAGGCTGTGCTGTGCCGCCACTTCCTGCCTTCTCTGCTCCCTCTCTCTGCATCCCTGCCATTGCCAGCCGCTGAGCTCACCCTTTCCCTGCCTTCATCCCGCCTACCACTCCCAACCCTCTCTTACCCACCAGACACTTCCCCCTCTGACCTGCTCTGTTCTCTCAACGGTCATGTGCTGTGGCGAGACCGACTCCCTTCACCCGTCACTGCCATTGCGGGCTGTCCCCATTCCACCACTGCCTCCTCCCATCATGCCTCTACCCTCTCATCTTCACCCGGAGCCTCCCTTTGGGCCGTGGCCTGTGCCAACCACTCTCTCCGGGTGAGCTCTCGTGCTTCCTCACCCTCTCTTTCCTTCTTCCCTGCATCCTTCCCCCGTCACTGCCATTGCGGGCTGTCCCCCTTCCAATGCTGCCTCCTCCTCCCATCCCTCAACCCTCCCATCCTCGCCCGGAGGAGCCCTCTGGGCTGTGGCCTGTGCCAACCACTCTCTCCTGGTGAGGCTCTGTGCTTCCTGTCTCTCCCTCTCTGCCATTGCGGGCTGTCCCCTTCCCCATAACCCCGCTGCCTCCCATCCCCCAACACGCTCGTCCCATCCTCGCTCGGAGCCTCCCTCTGGGCCGTAGCCTGCGCCAACCACTCCCTCCTGGTGAGACTTCCTCTCCTAGCTCAGCCTTCGCCTGTTACTGCCATTGCCGGCTCTCCCCTACCACCACCACCACTGCTGCCAACGCCTCCCATCCCTCAACCCTCCCATCCTCACTTGGAGCCACTCTCTGGGCCATGGCCTGTGCCAGCACTCTCTTTTGAGGCGCCCCAAAAGCCTGTGCCAGCACTCTCTGCTGGTGAGGATTCCTACCCTCTCTTTCTCTCTCGCTTTCTCTCTGCTTTCCTTGCCACTGCCATCGCCGTTTGTCATATTCCCCCCACTGCTTCTGTCTTTGGGTCGTGGCTTGACCTTTGTATTGTTCCTTCCTTACCGCTCCCTATCGTTTATTCACCACTTCCTACCTTCCCTCACCCCTCTCTACCGTTCTTCATCCCTCGCTACTGTTCCCAATGCAGATCTTCTCGTCTGCTGGCCGTCGCCTGCTTCCCGAAATCCTTCTCGGTTCCCCCGCCGTCCTTCTCTCCTGGTCCGCCGCCGAACCTGAACCTCCATCTCCGTTCGGCGCCGAACCTCCGTCTCGGTTTGACGCTGAACCTCCGTCTTGGTCCGGCGCCGAGCCTAAGAACCAGGCCTGGTTCGGAGTGTCTAGAAACCAGCGGCTCGTGTTTAAGAGTCCGCTGGAACAGCTATGGGATCGGCAAGGGGAAGTGGGGATTGGGACGTGGGGAGGGCGAGGGGAGGAGGGGAGTGGGGGGCGGGGAGGACGAGGGGATGGGGGGAGTGGGGGGCGGGGAGGGCGAGGGGAGGGGGGGAGTGGGGGGCGGGGAGGACGAGGGGATGGGGGGATGGTGGGGCCGATGCTGCTGGTGGTGATGAGGGGAGGGGGAGTGCGCGTGTGGGACATGGGGCGGCTGCAGCTGCTGGTGGATGCTGATATGGGCGCACTGGGTGCAGAGGCATCTGGAGGTGAGAAATAATGTTAGGTGAGATAGCGGGTTGCCCATGGCACTCGGACCTGGAATGGGCAGCAGCGAGGGGGAGTGCACGTGTGGGATATGGGGCGGCTGCAGCTGCTAGTGGATGCTGATATGGGCGCGTTGCGCTCTGAGGCAGCAGGAGGTGAGAAGCAGCGTGGAGGTGAGAAGCAGCGTGGAGGTGAGAAGCAGCGCGAAGGTGAGAAACAGCGCGAAGGTGAGAAACAGCGCGAAGGTGAGAAGCAGCGCGAAGGTGAGAAGCAGCGCGAAGGTGAGAAGCAGCGCGAAGGTGAGAAGCAACGCGAAGGTGAGAAGCAACGCGAAGGTGAGAAACAGCGCGAAGGTGAGAAGCAACGCGAAGGTGAGAAGCAACGCGAAGGTGAGAAACAGCGCGAAGGTGAGAAACAACGCGAAGGTGTCAAACAGCGCGAAGGTGAGAAGCAGCGCGAAGGTGAGAAGCAACGCGAAGGTGAGAAACAGCGCGAAGGTGAGAAGCAACGCGAAGGTGAGAAGCAACGCGAAGGTGACAAACAGCGCGAAGGTGAGAAGCAGCGCGAAGGTGAGAAGCAACGCGAAGGTGAGAAGCAACGCGAAGGTGAGAAGCAGTGTGAAGGTGAGAAGCAACGCGAAGGTGACAAACAGCGCGAAGGTGAGAAGCAGCGCGAAGGTGACAAACAGCGCGAAGGTGAGAAGCAGCGCGAAGGTGAGAAGCAACGCGAAGGTGAGAAGCAACGCGAAGGTGAGAAGCAACGCGAAGGTGAGAAGCAGCGCGAAGGTGAGAAACAGTGTGAAGGTGAACACCGGTGTGTGAAGTTGCTAGTTGTAATGCTGGATGACTTGTTCGGCTGTCATGTGTTTTTTTCTACTTTTCTCCTTTAGGTCTTAATGTCTGGTGGTAATCACCGCGTAGGCGTTTTTGTAAAAAAAAAAAAAAAAAAAAACCCAAGGAGGAACTGTGTTACCACTGTGAAGATGAGTTTACGGGAGTGCACGCCTTCAAGAGGGAGCGAGCTGCTCCACGCATGACACGCAAGCCAGGAGGAAGCTTGAAAAAAAACCTCAAAGGGTTTAGAAGGCTTCATGACGCGAGGGTCCACGTTCGGCCGTTCGGAATATGGTTTTCGAGACCTCATGGTCCGCTCTTCCTTGGGCTCCAGCCCAGCCCATGGCCGCTCTTCCTTGGGCTCCAGCCCATGGCTGCTCTTCCTTGGGTCTTCCTTGGGCTCCAGCCCATGGCCGCTCTTCCTTGGGCTCCAGCCCATGGCCGCTCTTCCTTGGGCTCCAGCCCATGGCCGCTCTTCCTTGGGCTCCAGCCCATGGCCGCTCTTCCTTGGGCTCCAGCCCATGGCCGCTCTTCCTTGGGCTCCAGCCCATGGCCGCTCTTCCTTGGGCTCCAGCCCATGGCCGCTCTTCCTTGGGCTCCAGCCCATGGCCGCTCTTCCTTGGGCTCCAGCCCATGGCCGCTCTTCCTTGGGCTCCAGCCCATGGCCGCTCTTCCTTGGGCTCCAGCCCATGGCCGCTCTTCCTTGGGCTCCAGCCCATGGCCGCTCTTCCTTGGGCTCCAGCCCATGGCCGCTCTTCCTTGGGCTCCAGCCCATGGCCGCTCTTCTGTGCAAGCGATGGCAACGTACCAATGCAGTGCTTGTGCCGTCATTTATTTTAAACTTCCTTTTGATGTGATCTCACCTTTATTTACCTCCCTCCTCGATTCATGCAGACTTTGCCCTCTCCTTCCTGTGTATCCCCTCCAGGCACACTACGCATGGCATCAGCTCGTCTCCTCCCCCCGTGCACCCCTGTGGTAACCCTTCTCTCTGGAAAGTGCTTCCTCCTCCACCCCTCCCTGCTCGCCTGGATGCCTCTCTCTCTCGCCTTTCTTTACCTCCTTCCTCAATTCCTGTGAACTTTGCCTCCCCTTTCCCCCCCCGTTCCCCCTTATCTGCACCAGGCACACTACGCGTAGCCTCAGCGCGCCTCCTCCCCCCGTGCACTCCCCTCATCACTCTTCTATCCGGAAATGCCTTCCTCCTCCACCCCTCTCTGCACGCCTGGATGCCCCTCTCCCGCCCCTCTCTCTCCCTTCTCTGTCACTCGTCCTTCCTTCCATATCTCCCACGACCCTCTTTTTTCCCTCCCATCACCCCCCTCTATCCCACCAGGTACACTGTGCATGGCATCAGCTCGCCTCCTCCCCCCATGCACCCCTGTTGTAACCCTTCTGTTTGGAAATTCCTTCCTCCTCCGCCCCTCCCTACACACCTGGATTGCCCTCTCTCCCCTTCCTCTACCTCCTTCCTTAATGTATGCTGACTTTTGCCTCCCCATCCCCCCTGCATCCCTCCAGGCACACTCCGCATGGCATCAGCTCGCCTCCTCCCCCCATGCACTCCCCTCATAACTCTACTCTCCGGAAAGTCCTTTCTCCTCCACCCCTCTCTGCACGCCTGGATGCCCCTCTCTCGCCCCCACCCCTCCTCGCGCCTCTCGTCCAATTGGAGGCCGCCACCTGGCGCTTTTCGAGCTGGAGGGTTCCGGAGTGCTGGCTGGGATGGTGTTGGTGCTGCTGGTGCTTCGTCTTTTCTTTCAAGGTTAGCAGTCTGGCGCTGGTGCTGCTGGTGGTGATGGTGCTTCGTCTTTTCTTTCAAGGTTAGTAGTCTGGCGCTGGTGCTGCTGGTGCTGCTGGTGCTTCGTCTTTTCTTTCAAGGTTAGTAGTCTGGCGCTGGTGCTGCTGGTGCTGCTGGTGCTTCTGGTGGTAATGGTTTAAAATCGTCTCAAAACCTCTTCATGTGGCCCATCTCCTTCTATTTCCTCTCTCCTCCACCGTCCCAACACAGGCAGGCACCTGGAGAGGAGGCCCATGCCACAAGAGCCCACCTAGAAAACGCCCTGGCAGCCTGCCGTCTGTTGAATTCACCTGACGAGTTCAGGAGGCTCCTGGCGGAATACGTGCGTCTGCTCACCAAGTGAGTGGCCAAACCCTAAACAGTAGCGAGGGCGATATAACGTGTAAGGTAGTAGCTTTAGTTTTTGTCGAGTGCGAAATTGGCTCCTGGCGGATTGTGTGCGTCTGCTCACCAAGTCAGTGTCCGAAACGGTTTCGGAAGACGCGTCCGTCTAGACGCAGCGTCTAAGACGCTAGACGCTCGACGATGTAGATTAGACGCAGTATTAGACGAAAACCCGGGCAGGCCTAAAAAAAATGTTCGGGCAGACCAAAAAACGTTCTATGGGGCATGGGGAGGGTGGGGGACATGCACCTATGTTACAATGGGGTGAATTTTTCCCCGTACCATATTTTTTTCCCCATTCTTAGACTTCACAAAAATCTTCACATCTCATCATAGTTAGGTTTCCATGTCTCTCTAGTAGTAGCAAACTCGAAGAACATTACTACTACTACATCTCTCTCCTATCACTACGCCTCCTAAACGCGGTGGAAGTAGCTAAACCCTAAGGGTTTTCGAAATAGATTTGGAAGAAATGAAGGTAGGGGAGCACAAATGAGGGATTTGTGCTCCCCAACCTCTTGGTGGCTAGCCATAGAGGTTGGGTTTTCTAGATACCAAGCGGTGAAGTGTGGTTTGTGTTCAATTTTGGTTGGGGGGGATTCAAATTTGCTTGGGGGGCTGGTTTTTGTGGTCAAAATGGGTGGGAAGGGTTTCTAATGGCGCGAAATTGAATTTCGCGTCGAAATGGCAAATTTCAATTTCGCGCGCGCGGATTTTTTTTTCGGGCTGCCCGAAAAAAATTCGCCCAAGCGTCTTGCGTCTTCCGCAACTAAGCCGAAACCTGAAACCTGAGATTTATTTTTTATCGAGTACAGTTTCCTTAGTTTGCGCATGCGCTTCAGGGGTTGCTATTTCTACGGCAACTCAAAGCGCACCAACTGATTGGCTAGAACCTGAAATGAAAGTGAGATGCTGTTCACAGTGGCCCTGTTCGGCTGCACTAACGCGAACACCCCTCAACCAAAGAGCAATGAAATGAAATCAGGGCCAGGGTTAGGTATGGTCCGAGCCTGTGGTGAGAAAGACAAAAGGCAACTTGTGCCTCTTACTAGATTCGCCAGCTGTTAAATAAAACAAGCAAATCGTGCACTGACTTGGAATCGGACAACACGCATGAAATACCTGACTGATCGCAGGGGGGTCGTACGCGATCGCGGGAGTGCCGAGCCACTCTTCCCGATCCTAATTCTGGTGTTTTGGTTGTGTTATGGTTTGGTTGGAGATTTTTTTTGGTGCTGCCGAACAGGGCCAGTAAATCTGAAATGGGTTGAAATACGCTTGCATCCCCCCCACCCACCCCTCTTCCCCCCCCTTCTCTCTCCCTCTCTTTCTCTCTATCTCTCTCCCTCTTCCCCACTCTCCCCCCTCTCTCCCTCTCTCCCTCCCTCTCACCCCCTCTCCCCCTCTCTCGCATCGATGATTCTCCCCTCTCTTTCCCCTCCTTCCTCTTGTCCTTTCCAGGGAGGGTGATGAGGGTCGGCTGAGGGAGGTGTGCCAGGAGCTGCTAGGGTCTGTGGACGCTGGGGAACATGCGGTTACCACAGGGGCGGGCATGGTTACCGATAACCAGGCGGGCACGGCTGTTCAGCACAATGCACAAGTTGATGAGGTGAGTGATCGGGGTTTTTGTGCTTCACAGTTTATTCCGCACCACAGCACCATAGTAGAAAATAGCAGGCAGTGCTCAGCATGTTATGTGTACTTGGTGTTGTTTTGGTGCTTCTTTCCGACTTCCTTGACTTGCCTTAACAGGAGTTGAGAAGAAAGCGCGGCCTTCTCCGAACTGTAGTGTTTCCATCCTTACTCTCGAGCAAAAGGATGCAACGAGTGCTGTTAGAGTACATGGATCTAGTCAAGGAAGCAGAGGCAGGATGAATGAGGACAAATGGTGATATATGACAAATGATTGTTATCATCAATATCTGTTTTGCACTGCGGAAAAGGTGGTAGTAGCGTACTTCCATTCGCGCTAATGAAGGTGAGAACGTTCTCCCTGGTCACCGACAGGTTTACTTCGTCACCTTTTCGCGGATTCCAGCTCGCTGCACGATGGGAAATCGCTGAGCTCGCAGACGGCTGGCGGTCGCAATCAGTTTCGCCTGGCGACATCTTCCAACCTCCACCGTCAGCACAGCAGTCGTTCGTTACTCGCCCGACCACTTGCCTATTTCTCGCGCAAACCCCGCTCCCTCCAAAATTTTCGCCCTCCGGACGCGGCGCGCTGGACGGAGCTGAATTGGCGGCTCGGAATTGCAAATTGGCGAGGCGAAATTTCGGGGGATGGCACATTCCGTTTTCCAAGCTCCTCCCTCCCCACCCCACACCCAAGCCAAACCACCACCACCAACAATTCCCCCCCTCCGTCAAACCGACAAACTTGTTTCGGTTCCAGGTTGGGATTTCCAACCTAACAACCACTTTTGTTGGAACGGAACCTTGTTCCCCTTATACAAGCGCCTTGATCTCTTATCATTGTAGTATTTCTAGCCGTTACCAGCATAGCTTCACACATTCATCTACCCGGCCTCTGTATTTCCTCTTGCGGAAGACAATCTCCCATAGCTTCTCTATTTGCAAGTTGCTGGTAACTCGATCGCTCTCCACTGTGACATTTCGGACTTTGTTCATCTCACAATGCCGTCTTCAGCTTTCTTTGCAAGGCCGGCTTCGCGCCTCGTTCTTGCGACAGTCGTCTTATCGTTCGTTCTTTCGGCTGCATGGGCGGCGCCGTTAACGGGGGCCAAAAAACCGAAGCAGACAGTTCCGCTGCCGCCGTACTACGAGGAAGCGCTTCAGAAGCTCAACGCGTCGGGTTTCACGAGCTTCGTGTCACTCTTCACCATGTATGGTACGTACAGCCCTTCATCGTGCGGTAGCGAGTGGTGCAGTGCGCCAGTGGTGCGGTACCGAGTGGTGCGGTCAGTTTTTGCGTCCACTCAAAGAATTCGATCGTGAGTCTCAACATGTCGGGTTTCACGAGCTTCGTGTCGCTCTTCACCATGTATGGTACGTACCGCCGTTCATTATGCGCCAGAGAGAGGTGGTACTGAATTGCCTCGTGACAGAGGACGAAAGCGGGACATGATCTGGGCATTTTCACAATGTATGGTATGTACCGCCATTATGCGCCATGATCTCGAATTTTTTATTCCCATATCTGTTACATCCCGTCGAGTTTGTCCGTCAAGCAGTTACACAAGTGCCCTTGCCGTACTAACCCCACCTCCCCTCACCACCCCCCCTCACAGTGCCACTTACCCTCCGCCATTCCCCCTTTGCCGAATCCACCCCTTATACCCCCCGCAGGCAAGACAAAGCAGATGAGCGATTTCGTTACGAAGAACTCAGTTACCGTTCTCGTACCCACTAACGACGCCATCACCAAAGCGAATCTGACTGGCTACCCCATGACAAAATTGCTCACGATCATCGCGTTCCAAGTCATCAAGGGCGTGAAGACGCGCACCGAGTTACAAATGTTACCACCTGGCACCCCAGTGGTTACCATTTCGATGGACGCGAAGAAGAATCCCCTCTTTTTGACGAAGGTTTCGCCTGCATCCGCGAAGAAACGGGTTTCCCTACGCGGTAAGGCTGGCCCTAATAAGAGTGTGGTGACTATAATGGGTCCTGATTTCTACTTCAAAGCGGGTAAACTTTCTGTTCACACTACTAACAATGTGGTGCTGCCCGAGGGGTATTAGAGAATACAGAGAACGATACAGCTCATAGTGTAGTGTACATGACACACTGTGGCTGATACGAGGTCGCGAAACAGGTTTGCGACTATATGGCGTTGGTAGGCGCCATGCTTATAGTGAGAATAAGCTCTGCTAGGTGCTACATTGCAACATGTACAAGAGCAATGGTGCACATGCTTGTGTGCCATTAATTCTATACTTGTTTCCTAACAATCTCTATACAATCGTCATTCTATATCTCTATCTTGATATTGGGTCCTCACCTGAAGTTTATTAGCTCAAAAGTGGAATGCCTATTGAAAAGTGCCACATCAGGCTGTAATAGGGAACTCTAAATAAGTTCATGAATCAGTACCAGCTGTTGTGACGAAAGGCTCAGGTACTTGAATTTTTGTAAATGCAAAGAGACTGCATAAGAACAATTAGTACTACCGTACATTTAGCAATCTCAGCTAGACTCGGCCCTACTGTAAACTACTAGACCTAGTTACGTCTACTTTTAGAATCCCAGTCGAACCAATTCGCTGTACACTCGGCCCTACTGTATGCTACATCTTGAACCTTGTGGAGGTTGTGTAACATTCCCATACGCACTCCGTTCAATCAGATCCAAGTCAGCTTCTGGATTAAGAAGGTCAAAAGGGGAGGCATGTTTACAAAGAAAAGGGTATGGAGGTGCACCGTGGAAAAGAGGTGGTGTGGTGAGGAACACATGAGATTCTGGACTTCAAGTTACGTGAGATGGCACAAGGGGACAAGGCAGACCTAGGCAGGTCCGGGAAGATACATTAGGTTCGGGTGCAATGTGGAGGACGGGAATCAGAGACATGAGATTCTGACAAGATACGCGAAATAAGAAAGAGATGGTTGGAGGGAGGTGAAAGGGGGCCCTGAGGAGGGACAGGAGTGAACCATGTCAGGTTTTAGTGGAAGAGAGGGGACATGTATAAGGGGAATTCAAACCAGGGAAATTTTGGGGAGGGAGAAAGAAGGGCACAACAGAAAAGAAGGGAAACGTGGATCGGGTTGAGTTAGACGAATCCAAAATAAGGATAAGGGTGAAGAACAGGCATGCGGAACAAATGTGGTCCGACAAGAATAAGGATACAAATAAAGGTATTCTTCTAAGCTCAGAGACAGAGCCCCCCAAATGCTGAAGTCTCTACTACTCTCCCACATATTCTCTGCAACCACGCCTCCCCTCCCCCCTCCACCCCCTCCCCCCCAACCCACCATTTCCGTCCCCCCATTCACTACTCTCCTCTCTCCCTCGTCTGTCCCCCACTCCACCTGAAAATTCCCTTTCAAGGATCTGAATGTCTCGAGGCGAACGGGGAGTCTTGCAGAGAAATGTCTGTAAGGGGTACAGGGTGTACAAGTGAGAGTTTTGAAATATAGGATGTAAGGACTTGGCGGGTATGGGGCAAAGAGTATGGGAGATGTTTGAAAGCGGGTTCAGACAGAGTAAGGGCATAGAATGGTTGGTAAGGGGTTTGGAATACATGTTTTAGGGCTGTTGTGGAATGGGGTATGGAGAATGAGAAATGGCTGGTGATGGTTGGTGAGTAGTGTGGAATACAAACAATAGGGGTATGGTGGGTATGGTGGGTATGGTGCATGGTGGAAGGTACGTTGCGTTTGATGCATGGTGTGTTCGAGATACGGGAGATGGAATTCGACATCATCACACGGAAACTTAGCTAACGAAAGCACCTCACTCAGCCGTGCTTCACCGCACAGCACCTCACTGAGAGAGTCAACCTGGCGAAGGGTGTGGCGAGAGAAAAGGGATGCACACATGCATGCGCTACCGTCCATCACTATGCAGCACCACTCGCATGCAGAAAGCGAACTGCATTCTTCCGCATCGTACCGTGCAGCACCACACTGGGAGCCCACCTGGCGAATGGTGCAGTTGTCCACTGAGCAGTTGCCTCCCAATGGGGTGGGGGCGAGAGAGAAGGGACGCTTCGCTTACATGCATGCGGTACCGTGCATCACCGCGCAGCACCACTTGCATGCACAAAGCACACTGCATTATACCGCACCGTACCATGCAGCACCACACTGGGAGCCCACCTGGCGAATGGTACAGTTGTCCACTGAGCTGTCGCCTTCCTGGGGTTACAAAGTGATGATGAACGGCAAAGATGAGGTGAAACAGTGGGAATGGGGTGGGGTTGTGGGGGGGAAAGGGGAGGAGAAGGGGAGGGGGTGATGAATTCGTGTGCTGTCGCGTGAGCTGTCGCCTCCCTGGGGTTTGCAAAATGATGAATGGCAAAGAAGAGGTGGAAAAAGGGAAGTGAGGGCAATGGAGGAGGGGTTGGGAGGAGGAGGGGGGGAAGGGCTCAGGGGAGGAAGGGAGGAAGGGGTGATGAGAGGTTGCATGCTACACTGGGGTGTTGCCTCCCTGGAGTCACGAATGGATAGGACGGGGCGAAAGGGAGACAGGTGGAATGTAGAGGGGGAAGAGGGGAGAAAGAGGGGGGGAGGGGGAAAGGGCGGGGGGGAGAGAAAGGGGGAAAGCAGAGTAGACAAGTGAGGGTTCACGTGAGGGGGAAGAGTAGATGACGAGAGGCGGGGGGGAACACCCACGGTGTGAGCCGTGCGGGGAAAGGGCGAGGGGGAGAAACGCACGCCATACTTTTGAAAAATAAGGAGAGCACAAAGTACATAGCACGTCGCATCGCATGCCACCTTATTTCGAGGAACGATGCGGTCATATTCGAAGCAGAACGGGCCGTCGCACGAATCGAAAGCGCGGAAGACCATATTTCCCTCGCTATCCCGGCGCCATCGATCCGGATCGCGTCCCTTAACTACGTCCGCCTTATTCCAGCACGCGTCTTTCACTTCACGGGAGAATTTCTTCGGCATAGACCGCTTCCGCGACGGCCGGTTTAGATCGGTATTCATCGGTTTAGGCTCCTGTTCGTCCGGCGGCTCCTGTGGGCTCGACATTGGACTGAAGCTGTCATCCACGTCCGATTTTCCCGAGCCTGACTGATCCGTCCACCCCTGTCGTCATCGAGGTATTGCTAAGGCTGTTGCTGATTATGGAAGATTAACGGATCACATGGATTACTCTGGAGAATAGAATAGACCCTACGTGTTTGAGGAATAGATAGTGAAAGTTGCAGTGACACGAAGGGATGATTTCTGTCTAAAACATTT